AGTTCTGTATTATCTTGTAACAGACAGGGGTATAACTCGCCATCTAAGCCAATGTCTAACTGAATATATAAATTAATGGACAACTGTTCTTGTTCTCTGAGTAAATATGATTGAAAATGTCCAATTTCTCCTACCGATTTTTTTTGTTTGTTTGTTTAACAAGAAAATGGCTTCACTATGAACTACACATGTCTCTACAGTCAGGATATTTTGAAAAGACCACAGGAGGGCAGTAAAGTCTGCAAGTAGAGGGCTATGCATAGCAAAATACATTTATAAAAACAATATTTAGGTGTTAAAGTTTAGGTGGCATGTCATTTATTGAACCTATATAAAACAGTTTCACCTTTGTTTAAAACAAATGGTCTCAGTAAAAGGCTTGTATTGAGTATATTCCGATATCAAGTTCCAAACTAGTCAGTGAAATTTAGCTCACACTGTGATAGTTTTACAGTGCTACTTTTGCTGCAATAAAAGCTGTAGGCTGATGGTGGTATATTCCCACCAGCTCTGCCAGATTAGTCAAAACAAATGAAGAGCTGTAAATATTGAAGACTTGCAACAGAATCACATCTTGTCATGGTCTTGGTGCTGATTACTGGCTTGATTGCTAACTCCATTCACCTGTCCAATTCTGCCTGATTGCACATTCACTGCAAATTTGATCCACCAGCTTCTGCCTCTATTTAAGGTGCTTGCATCCAGTTTTCCGGTGAGATGATCTTGTCCTCCTTCTCGCTGACCAATGGTTAGAGAGGTTTTAGCATAACATAGTGTTTCTGATTTCCTGATCCTGACCTGCTCTGCCTCTCATCCACTGAGCGTGCCTGTTCCTGTCTGATCACAGTGGAGAGAGTGTTTTTTATGGAACCTGAGTGTTTCTGCTTTCCTAATCATGACCTGTTCTGCCTCTCATCCACTCAGCGTGTCTGTTCCCGTCTGAATGGTTTGCCTGAACTGTCTTTGGACTCCTGGAGCTCTGAACCAGACTCTTCCTGTTCTGATCTCTTTCCCTGACCTGGCTTCGGAGTCCTGCTTGTTCTCCGTTCTCCAGGGCTGCAGCATCAGGGACACTCTGGGTTACGCCGGTCGCGACTTGTTGCGGCTGGATCCTACCTCATTCTCTGCCAATAGACTGAACTGTTAAACCATGTTAGTGACTCGCTTGGATAATCATAATCCATCAAATTATCATCATCACTAACTTGTGTTTCTTTCCAACAGAGTTTTAAGTGATAGACGCCCTAGCTGCTGCTACTACAGACCCGCAGCCTGTTGTCTAGATAAACTCTGAATTATCCCACTGTCTGTCTCACCTTAAATTTCAGGTCCTTCTGTTCCGATTCATGACACATCTGGGTTTAGGTTGGACTTTGAAATGGTCCTTCATGTATCTAAGTTTGACATTCAGTTGTAGCTCTGACAGCTTGAACCATTGGTTCTGCCTCAGCAGAAGAACAGAATCCCACAGCATGACCCTGCCACCATCAAGTTTAACTGGGGAATGGTAGATTCAGGAAATCTAAGAATGCGTTTTCCACAACACATTCCATTTCAAATGTAGACAAAAACGGACATTTCTGTTCTTCAAAGTTTTTTCATTTAATTTTCTTTTTCAAAATGTTCTCGCCTGAGGCATGGATTTCTGCAGATAATTCAGATCCAATTCAGGCCTCTTAACTGCATTTTATGAACTATTGACAAAAATATTTAGGTTTAAACCAAGCTGTATGAATCTACTGTCCTTATTTCCATTTAACTGACAGAGCTAGAATAGCTTAATATGATGGTTAGCCTTTTTATCTACATATTTCTACAGCATACAGGTGAAATATTATTCCATTTTATTGAATGAAATTTTAACAAATTCAAAAGATAACTTTATGCCTAGTGTTTTTGATTAACAAAAATGGATACAGATATGGCCCAACTATATGCTCTGTATAGTTATGGAGCCATTGCTATGCTATGTTATTGCATCCGTGCATAGATTTGATGACTGATGTTCTTTTAACACTATTAAAAAGAGTCTATCCTGTCTTGAGGGAGGTACTGTTGCTGTGTCATAATCTGTGAAATGCTAAAGAACTTTCACCGAATCCTGACTTTTTCTGAACACCATTCGTCACTTGACTCATGACGAAAATATTTTTAGAGAGACTTTGAGTGTCCGGGTAGGCCATGACAGTCAGACCCAATTCACAAGGGAAGCTCCTGGAACAGAATTCACCAGCTATAAATATCCTTTGTCACAACAATCTATCCTGTGTTGCTGCCAAAATGACAGATGCCAAATATTCTGTTTGGAATATCGCTTCCAGTAAAGTTAAAAGCAAATATTCTAACAAAGAAATATAAAGATAAGGTAAAGAATAGCCTCCAGATGGCTCCTTCATGCTCCTAATTAATTTGGCAGTTAAATCCACTGCAGGGACTTTTGTTTACGTATATCGTCCTGTTATATAAGATGCTTCACTCTTATTTGGTTCCAGATTTTTTAATGGAAAACATAAGATAGGAATACCAAATACAGCATTTTCTGTAAACTCTGCAATAAAAGAATAATAGTAGAGTTTCTTTTTGTTTTTTTTTAATCGTGCCCAAGGGAAAAATTCTGAAACCCACTATTGTCAAATGGAATTGTTTCTTTGATTATCCCAAATTTAACTCAGATTTAGCAAAAAAAAAATAAGAAGAACAGAGTGTTTTTATTATCAGTCAAAAAAAAAAGGGGGAAAAAAGAAGATTCATGTCTTAGCTTAAACTTGCACTTAATAATATAATTATAGCTTGAGTTATAGCTCAAGTTATAGCTCAGAAGTTTTAAAAATGCAGTCCTTCTTCCCCATTTAGCCAACAATATTCACTTAAATCTCACAAAATATTTTGGTATCAAGTTTTAACTTGCTTTGAATTTCCTAATTATGAATTTAAACATTAAATCATGTCATATATTATGTTTTTCAAATGAATTACACAAACTTTATTGTAATTTTGTATACGAAGAGTGTATACAAAACAAAATTTCAAATCAAGCAGAACCTGGGAGTATCACACAAATAGACAAATAGGTTTATTTAGAATCTGAATTTAAAAAAATGCATTTTCTGCCAAGTGGTGTTTGACATGTATGGGGAATTTTTTTTGTTGATAAGGTACAAAATATAGAAATTAAATATGCAGCTGACCTGAAAAAACACACTCATGTAAAATTTTAATAAACAAATAGAACATCTCTTTAATGTATTTCTGAATATGGCTGTTTAGCATTAAGCACCTCCTTGCTAAACATGTAATTTAATGAACAAATCCCTGCCTCACTCTTTCTCCTCTTTAGCTGCCAAGTTTAGATGTGAACCCAAGTTGGTATATTGACTCAATGTCAAACTCAATGTCTGTAGTCAAATTTCATCAGCAAATAAACATAATTTAGAATCTGGTAGATATATTCCAAAAAGGAGCAGCAGCACCAATAGAGAAAAGATGGTTCAGCAAAGATGTGAACTACATTGGATAAAAAAAAAATAAAAAACACAAGCCACCATTTTAAATGCTTCCTTTTAAAGACAGAAAATGGATAGAAAGTCACATTTCTTCCACCGTATACTTTGTGTTGCTCTGTCACACCAAATCCCTGGTACTATGAAGTTGTGATTGTAAAATCAAAAGTTGTAAAGAATTTTTTTCTTTTTTTTTTTTTTTTTTTTATAATTAATGTGTTTCAAAGGAGCATTATGCTGTTTTGAATTTCAGCCTCTAAACTGGTCAATCTGCAGTGCTGAAATGTCATATTCTGATGACATTTGGTGAACTATGAAATATTAATGACTTTTTATGTTAAATTCTACAACAGCCCCAGGATGCAATAATTAAACAAATTAATTTTTTTTTTCACAGCTGATTCATCACACTAGTTGAGCATGGAGGAGACTTCTAATTGCTTTCCTTAGCTTCCTTTTTTCAGTTTGCCAAGTTTGTACATCTCAGAGCTTTAGTTGGAACATAAGGTTTACCTGGATTCAGGATGAGTACTTTTCACTCTTGACCTTTAAAATAAATTCAATACACAATGACTTAGACAGCGAGAGAATGACATGTTTCCTCATTCTTTGAAAAACAGCTCATGTTCAGTCAGACTGATTTCCATTTAAGATCTGACTGGACCCTTAGTTTGAGGTTATTATCCTGCTAGAAGATGAACCTCCATCCACGCTGACTCAAGTATTTAGCAACCTTCTAACAGCCTTTTTTTTTCTTCACAGAAAAATGTCCATCCATCTTTCCATTAGTGCTGACCAGCTCCCCCATCCCTGCCAAAGAAAGGTGTCCCCACAGCATGATGTTGCCACCACCGTGTTTTACAATGGTGATGGTATGTGGAGTTATGTAAAATGTTAGCTTTACTCAGTCCAAAGGTGCTTGACTAATGTTGACTCATCATCTAATTCTCCAAATTGAATTAAGTGCAGTTTACATGGGATGAACAAACACACCTTGGTAAAGACAGTTCATCTTTAGAATTCATCCAGAGGTATAGGATTGAGACGGACAGCACGCCTCTCAATCCTCATTTTTCATATTTCATGTGTTGACATATTTACAATGTTTTTATTATGATACAATGGATTTTTTGATTGTAGTATTATAAAGTGTGAAATAGTACAAAAGGTAGTTTTCATTTTCTTCAAATGTTCATCCAGCTTAACTTCTTCATAATGCAATTTTTTATCTTTTATTTCTGCATTGTGAAGATTATTTCATTATGTTCTATAAATCTATGTTTTTCATACTTTCCTTGGTTTTACATATCTGCCAACAGTAGAGTTCCCCTCAGCCCTGAATCAGTTAGTGTTTGTTTTTCTCTCATTCTACAGCTTTCTTCTTTTTCTTATTCGCTCTAACTCTCTCTCCTCCACTCCCTCTCTCCTTTTGCTCACTCAAGTCCTTTGCTCCTCTCCCTCTCTTTCTCTCTCCCCACTCCAGCTCAGCTCTGTCACACACTCGCAGACTCACACCGGCTCTCCCCCCTGAGCATCATCTCCACTACTGGAGATCCACCTCGTGTCTGTGTTCTGCTGGGTGGACGCACGCCCCACAGTCACCATTCCTGCCCCGGAGAGTTCCAGGCTGGCAGCGCAGCCCCTTCCTAGGCTGAGCATCGGGCGGAAGACCCTGGTGGCAGCTGCAGTGGGGGTCATGCTAGTCCTGGTTTTGGTGGTCCTCATCCCTGTGCTGGTCAGCTCTGTGGGTGCTGGTGGCACAGATGACAGCTCAAGCCATTATGAGATGCTGGGAACCTGCCGGATGGTGTGCGACCCCTTCCCAGGCACGGGCACCCCAGGGACTGGCATCCACACAGACACATCAACCAGTGGCTTTTTGGTGGACAATCAGGAAGACCTAAGCGATCACAGCATCGGTCCTCCACTTCCTACATACAGTGCAAACGGCCCACAGGGAAAAACCGGACGTCCAGGCAAACCTGGACCTCCGGGACCTCCTGGAGAACCAGGTCCACCAGGTCCAAGGGGACCACCGGGGGACAGTGGAGACATGGTTCGCACAGGGATCCTTGGGGCGGTTAGCACAACCACCTACAACACTACCCCCCGAGTGGCATTTTACGCAGGACTACGAAACCCCCAAGAAGGCTACGACATTCTGCGATTTGATGATGTGGTGACTAACATTGGGGGAAACTACGAGGGTGCGACGGGCAAGTTCACCTGCAAGATTCCAGGAACTTACTTTTTCATCTACAACGTGCTGATGAGAGGAGGCGATGGGACAAGCATGTGGGCAGACTTGATCAAAAATGGTCTGGTGGGTGAAACGTTTGACACACACATGCTGTTTTTATGAAATGGCAAATGTGTAGCTTTTTTAAACTATAAAAACAAAAAAATCAACTGAAATGCTTTTAAATATAAGAATATAGGGAGTGCTTTCTGTAATTGTCAGGCAAGAACTAAATTAGTTTTTGTTTTTGATATGAAGTCAAGCTGTCAAAATGTGTTAACACAAAAAAAAGCCATGTCAGAAATGTACAGCTGACTGATAACTACATCATTTGCCTCATATCTTACTATATGCTTCGCCAGTTTCACTCAATCTGGCTTTCAGTTTGTCAACTAAACACATCCTTTCTTCCCACATATTAAAAACCCCTGATATGCTTCATATCATCAGCATAATCTCTTTTATCACCATAACATCCTGAATATCCCAATCTTTTTTCAGGGCCAATCCTAGATCTTAGTTCTTTATTTACCTCTTTGATATTACCTGTGGATCTATAGTCTTTGACATAAATAAAAGTTACTGTAAATTACTAAGTCTAACTAACCTACAAAAAATACTTTTTGGTTTCTCCAAGGGTAAATTACAGTAAGTTTACATTTTTATTGCAAAGAAATTTAGGTTAGTAAAAGCATTTTTCTAAAACTATACCGCTAGTGATACATGAAGCCCACTTTAATGGATAGATAATAATTGCTAATTTCTCCAAAGAGAAAAGTAGTATTACGTTGAAATCATATGATATATTTTGGCCCATATTTGGTTTAATATTGTTACATTTTTTGTTTTTGGTCTTTAAGGGTATTCTTATTCATTTCACCTTAAGCTTTTTCAGGAGGCAAAGACAGTTTCCCTGGTATCTAACTGCCTTATGACAAAAAAAGTTATTTTATTGCAGAAACATATACTACAGTTTAAGCATTTCCATAAATAACATAATCAAAGCGCTAATAGAAATCAATTGTTATGTCATAATGGATTATTGTGGGCCAGTAGGGGCCCAGTGTGCCAGATGATCAGGGGACGGAATCAGTTAAAGTAAAATAAAGAAAAGCCATGTCAGTTGCACCCTTAATACATTGCTTGCTTGTTTGTATTACTATGTCAAGGTTTCCAGTGTAGATATGTGGAACACCTTTATTGTTCAGAAATGACTGGACCTTTATGCACTGAAGAGGGGACATACTGTACACAGTTGGAAATTTAAGAAAAACTAACTTTACTAGTGCAAACAAAAATGACTTATTGGTCTTAAAAGGTGGGGGTTGTCCACAAAGCCATTCATGCAGAAATAGCCACTGGTTAAAATATAGCCAGGGATCTCTACTAAAATAGGTAAATGATTGGTTGCAATTTTCTGTACGTTTTTTTTGTTTTTTTTGTCAACCTTCACAGCCTGCCCAGTAGGTGGCAGTATATGGAGTGATAAATATTAGTCTGAAAAAGTAGCTTATTTGCAAGAACAACTCTTATATATGAGATAGCGTCTTCCAAACTACTGCCTTAGTGTAGTGTCTGCTGTGTATAGCAGGATAAAATGATTGAATTCTTAAACTCACAGTGAGGTGGCCTCGCTTAGGAAAACATACAAACAGTTTACTGGCAGTCTTAATTGGGTATTCATGTGTGCAACTATTTCAGACATGCTCTGGTGTTTGTTTGGTATAATGAGAATGCATACTGGCATGCTGCCAGTTTGTATATCTGTGCATTTTTGCACATCTTGCGATGATGTACATGTTGACATGAGTGGAGGAAGTGCAGGCCTATCTCTGCTGAGCACACATCACAAAACAGCCCGGGGTTGTGGCTAGTTCAAAGCGGTTGCCCTTTAGAATACAACAAGCTTTGTAGAAACTTGGTGAGCCAACTGGCGTTATCAGGCTGCCTGTCAAGCCTAAGCGTTTGATTATCGATACGTGATATTTGCTAAATTCACGGCTGATTTTGTGATGTCCTAATGGGCCGCTGGCGATGACACCAAACAAACATGTTCATCTAAGCCACAACACTCGCAAACATCTCACCCAGACTGCATCAGGCTGAACATCGAGTGAGCACAATAACACTAACTCCAGCTGTTCTTCAAGTGGTTTGTTTATGAAAGTAATAACTTTCAGTGAAGAACAGCAGGGTTATTAGAAGTTTTAGCACTGTCTTCAGAGCAGCTTAATAGGAAGAGGAAAATATAGTGCGCTGAAAAAGCCTTCTGTGTTAAATTAAACCACATTGGTCTTAAGGTGTTCATCTATTAGTCCTTAAGGAGCTAAATATCTTAAGATATAAGGAAAATCTATTCCAAATAATCCTCTTTGCAATGAAAAACATGTCACAGATTATATATTGTGACATGCCTCCTGTTACTGAAGGCTTATTTCCATTCTAATTTTTATGGGAGATAATCTCAGCATAATGAAAGAATTCCTCACAAGAGGAAACACTCACTATAGGACTCTCTATCGAGATAAACTTTTCAATTACATGTCTGATCTGAAATATGCAACTGTGTTATTTTGATCTAGAACTAATCACAGAGCGCTACAACTATTCAGCGCTGTCTGAATCAAATGAATATCACATCGGCAAGCTTGTATGGTAACGGTGGACAGCAAAACCACAACAAAAAAAAAAAAAAAATCATACTCATCTTGGTACTTAAATGTGAAGGAAGAAAATTTTTTTAATGTTATGAAAATCATACCAAGACTGACACATGTAAAAGCCTATAAAAACGTGCCTTTCCTTGTCATTCAAAAACAGGAAGATTATACATATTTTTAGATTGTAGTTTTTTTTTAAACTATAGAAGTCTGCATTGGCGTAGGTGTCTTCTGGACTGGACATTAGCGTTAGCTTACTGGACACATTAATCTGGAATTACATTAAAGAAAAGATGCTAAAAGTTAGTGTTGGATTGACAGATGCAATGCAAAGTATTGCATTCATTTACATTTAGCTCCAATTTTGTTCACAATGATCTAATATTAGTGTAAAGTTAGTTGTTATATTGGGTCCTGATGGTTTGTGACTAAATAAACAGGATCATGGACACCAAGGAACCCAGCAGGTGATGGAGAACATTTTCAGCAATTACAATTTCTGAACAACTTCCAGAGCATGTTTTAATGCATCATCTGACAACAGAAATAGCATGGTGCAACTACAAACCTACCAAGATGTTGGCAGGAAACGTCTGGAGTCTAGACGAGCTAAAGGGGTTGGCATCTCATTTTTTTCTAGGCTGTTTACAGGACAATTATTAGTAGGGATGCACGATATAATCGGCCCCCTATCGGTATCAGCCTGTATCGGCCTTAAAACTGAATATCGGACATCGGCCACCCCACCGATATTTAACCCGATATTTGATCAGCTTCTGAGTTTCTTCTTCTTCCTCAAAAACTTCTTTTTTACAGACTTAAAAATTTCTAAAGACGAGGGAATTGTGATATTAAAATATCACAATATCTTCATATGCTGATATATTGCCATTTAAAAACACCATATCAATCTCTTTTACTAATGAAATATTGCTATATGTCATCGTAATGCTACGAAATCCCCTGAAAATTCACGAAATCTTGCCATATTTTTATATGTTGATATATTGACGCAGTATCGATCTATTTTACTAACAAAATCTCACAAGAATTTGCAAAATATCACGAGACTTTGAAACAGAACGATGAAATTTCACAAGATTTTGAAAGTAAAATAGATCGATACCGCGTTTTTAAAAATCAATTTGATATCAGCATATGAAAATATATTTGAGTATATTATTTTTCAAAGTGTCAGAAATGGATAACAAAACTGCTATTTTCAATGACTACTTATTTTTGTCCAGCTTTAACATCGGTATCGGTATCGGTTATCGGCTACATGAGTTTTAAAATATCGGCATATCGGATATCGGCCAAAATCCCAATATTGTGCATCCCTAATTATTAGACAACTATCATTGCCTAACTCTCGCCTTTAATTTGGCTGATTAAAGAGTGGTAAGAGAAAAGATATGGTTGAAACAGAGTCATCAGAAGTCCCATGTAATATTTGCTATAATATATGTAGACAAAAGCAAGAATTAAGAGAACACCACTTAAGTAGGAAAATAAATAAAAAATGAAATCAATTTTACATTCTATAATGAAATGCTTTACATTAAGGTAGACTTATGTATTAGATTGGCCCACTTATAGCCCAAACCCATCCATCCATCCCTCCATCCCTTCATCGATCCATCCATTTTCTGTTATGCTTATCCCTGCTGGGGTCGTTAGGGGTGCTGGTGGTATCTCCAGCTGTCAATGGCCGAGAGGCGGGGTACACCCTGGACTAGTCACCAGCACATCGCAGAACAACACAGACAAAAAGGACAAACAACCATTCACACACACAGCTAAGGAGAATTTAGAGAAGCTAATTAACCTAACAGTCATCTTTTTTAACTGTGGGAGGAAGCCAGAGAACCTGGAGAGAACCCACTCATATACAGAGAGAACATGCAAACTCCAGGCACAAAGACCCCGGGCCGGATGTCGAACTTAGAACCTTTTTGCTTCAAGGTGGCAGTGCTACCAACTTCGCCACTGTGCAGCCTATAGCCCAAACAATTGTCTAATAAAGCAATTAAAATGGGATTTTTCCAGATATTCTCTATTCCATCCTACTGAGATTCATTAACTCTGAAACAGAACATAAGTAAAAATGACTCAGAAGCTAGGACCTGGAATTAAGGCAAGACAGACAGTGGATTACTTAAAAAGCTTTTATTTAAACAACGAGCTGAGATTCTACAGTGGCAGTGGCAGCAGCGCAGTGGCTAGGGCATCAGAAGTATGATCGTCTATTGGAGAGAAACACAGGTTAGTGACTGTGATAATCTGACGGAGGATGATTATGAAAACATGAGTCACTAACCTGGTTAGACAGTTCAGTCCACAGAACTATCTGACAGGAGTCCGAAGACAGGCAGGCAAACAGATCAGACAGGGGAAGGCAGACTCAAAGGTCCAAATACAGAAACAAATCAGGATCCGACAATCAGAGCACTATTAGTAATGGAAGAGATCTCTTAACACCAAAGGCTCAAGAATAATCTGGCGCTGATGGCTGGGAAACAGGCAGCCTAAATAGGAAACCAGCACAGGTGGATCTGGTGAGTAATTAGGAAATGGGCAGAGCAAGACAGGTGAATGAAAGGAGCAATCAAACCAGCCATCAGTGTCAAAATCATGACACTTTCACATAAAATAGAATATTTTATAATTATTTTGTTGTAAAAACATCTAAAAAATGTAAAAAGGGGTATGGAAAATATTTCAGCATGTTGTATAAATAGAAGATTGCAACAATATAAGTAAAACTGGTGGGAATGATTGTGACAAAAATCTTATCCTGATGTCAAAATGGAAAAATATGGCAAAATGACACCATCTGCTCCACAAAAAGTAGAAAACCTGGGGAATATCTTAATTTTCCTACAGGTGTTTAAAATTAATACTGCTGAAGCAGAGTGGAAGCAGAGGAAGCCAAGGATACCTAAAGACTAATCATCATTGCGTCATGTATCCCATAACCTTTCATCTTAAACTGTAAGTGTCTCTCCATAACTCTGTTGGAGGATAATGTTTTTTATTTTTGTTCAGCCAACCTGTCGCTACAATCTTGGTCGGAGCATGGATTAAACTTTTATGGATGGTGCGGTAAAGCTGGAGAAAACCCTCAGAGGGGATCTGTCTTACATGCTAAAGAACGTACCCCCGAGCAGGCAAGCAGATTTGGGGATGAGGCGCACAAACCGGCACATCTGTAATTACCCTGTGCTGTCAAAATGACACTTATATGTGGCAAAACACGACATTTTCCAGCTCTTTACCCAACAGAACGAGGATGTCACGTAAGAGTAGAAGATGAGGGAAAGGGATAGTATGCACTGACTTTATTGCTCATAGGCAGACTGACTCAAGCCTGACCCGTACAGCTGAGTCATAAGATAAAAAAAACATATTCACCAGAGGGGACACACTTACACAAAGTCAAACTTCTTAATACAGGCTTTACTTTCCTATAAGTATACTTTTCTGACATTAAACTTATCACTTTTAGGACATATTGTTAATAAGCTTGATTGCCTAACAAACCTTGAGGGCTATTTGCTGATAGCATAATTGTTATATTAGATTTGATCCAAAGCCCTGTAAAAAGGGACTGCATATGGGAATTAGCTTATGCTATCATTGGGTGCAATGTATGAAATAGCATTCAAGCTGTGCATTCTCTTTTTAACTAAAAAAAGGCAGCTAAATGTTACAAAGTGCTAATACGTATGTTACAGATATTCAAGAAAATATACTCAATAGCAGACTAAGTTAAGCTGAACAAATGCAAGAAGTTTTTTTCAAATGAGGACATAATTACTTAAAAAGAAAAAGATACCAACATTGTCAGTTTTGTAACCACTTATTTGCACTCCAAAGCAAATAAGTGGTTGTGCCATCCTTGGTGGCCACAACCGTCATCAATAGTTTAAACTTCTTCCCAGTCTTCTTTGTCATCGTGAATAAATTCAAGCTTATGTTATATGCCTTATTGAGGCACAATAAGAAGATTTCACAGGATTTCTGTTCAGTCTAAGATCTTGCATTTTCATTTGGATACCTCAGGACATTGACAGGGTCAGAAACCTGGGTCATGTTTTGTGCCTTTCAGAGGTGGGCTTACTGGTAGCCTTATATTATTACCCTACTTTATAATCCAAGTATGTTTAGGCTTAAGGTTGCAAACAGATGGCATCCTCCCTTATGTTTAACTATTGTTTTTTATGTTCCTTTTTTTTGTACATAAAATGTACATTTTAGTCAGAATCTTTCTTTGAGATCATCAAGGTGCATTTGGCAAATTTGAACAATACAGCAGCTTTGCTCAGTCTCTTATTTTAAGGTAATAAACAATGACCTTAACTTAGGTAAGTAAAACTTGCAGTGCTTTAGATGCTTCTGTTTTCAATGGGGCGAAGTTGCGACAGTGGTGTCAGATGTATCAGTTTGCCCTGAAATTGAAGGGTTGATGGTTCAAGACCTGCCTCTGGCTTTCAGTGTTGTTGTGTCCTTTGGCAAGACACTTCACCTGTATTGTTTACTGGTGGTGCCAGTGTCCAGCAGCCTTGCTTCTATCAGTGAACCCCAGGGCAGCTGTTGCTAGAATGTAGTTTGCCATCGATAGCGTGTGAGTGTGTGCGTGAATGGGTAAAGGACTGAATGTAGTGTAAAGCCCTTTGGTTAAGTCTCCTGACTTGAAAAGGGCTATATCAGAACAGGCCATTTACCATTTCTATGACCTCCTGAATACGTTTTTGATCCACCGTTGGAGTAATTTTGTTTTTTTTTGTTTCAATGCAAACAACCCACTGACTTGGGTTGTTTGATCAAATAGGGGCATAATTGCTGCTTTTGAAATTTTGCAGCCTTCTTCATGCCACCAAAAGAATGATTTTTTCTTGTTCTATGTTTCAACAGTAGTCACGCATCTTTGTTAGGGGTAAAATTGAAATCAGCTTTTCAAGAGAGGTGGATAATTCCAGTTAAGTAGAGTAAGTAGAGATTTATCCTGGGAAGTCTCCTTCGCAAAGAGTCAAGTTGATTTAGATATATATGTTTTCCCCTCCCATAAAAGAAACCTTGATTAAAAAACTTAATTTTCTGTTAATTTAGCATATTTTTAAATGATATAATTTTTTTGGGTTATCTGAAACATGTAAGAGTGTAAAAAGTCAGCAACATATCCATATATTATCGTTAGATGAGGAAATTCGAGTGATTTAAAAAAAAATCTTATTTTTTAATCTAACCTCTCATTACATCTTCCTGTGTTTAATATTCCAGGTCAGGGCCAGTGCCATTGCCCAGGACCAAGACCAGAGTTATGACTATGCCAGCAACAGTGTCATACTTCATCTGGATGCAGGGGATGAGGTGTTCATCAAACTGGATGGGGGCAAAGCTCACGGGGGCAACAGCAACAAATATAGCACCTTCTCAGGGTTTATCCTCTACGCCGACTGATTACCAGGCACAGAACAGGAGGCTTGGAGGTTAAAGGTCCAAACCGGCAGACATTTGCTTCCTGACTTCCACTTTGCATTCTTGCAGTGAGGCTGATGACACAGACACCACTCCACAGTCTTTAGAGTAATGTAGTGATGCACTCTGTGGATTTTTAGTTATCACTAATCTCATCATCTGTTTTTATCCAACATAATGCATCCTGGGTGCCTACACTGCTAATATAATGGACATGTGGACATGTCACTTGGCTGTGGCAACAAATGTGACAGTAGAGAGGGGCCGTGCCATCATTCCTTAGCTGTCATGTCAATTTCAAGTCTGGAATACAACACTTGTGGTGGCCTCAGTGTCTATAAATGTGCTCTCTGGGTTTATATTAGGGTTATGTTTTTTCTTTCACATGCTGTTTGTGTGATGAAATGTTTTGCATCAGTGGAGGAGGAATCCTGCCTAAAGAAATTTTTGAAATATTAGATATAAGGGTGATATTAAATTTAAATGCCAGAGAGTGTGAGAAAAGGTTTCAGTGTTGGCCAAAATTTCAACACCTACAACACATATTGGCCTGATGAAGTTGTGGAAAAAGCCTTAAAAAAGATTCTTCTGTTCATGCAGTTGCACAAGCTCTCAGTAATTACTGCATTTTTTCAACAGTGAGCTTTACAAGGTTTCCTTCCTTTTCCTTGTATAGGGAATTTTAAGGTAGCAGCATTTGTTTTGCTGCCTTTTCTATTTGAAGAGGTCTGTCTGTTATCTTTTTCTAGCCAAGGAAATCAGGAAGGCATGTAAAAAAGATAGAAAACAATAACTGTATTCAAGCAGTAATAAAAGATGCTCAAACTGCTCTAGCAAGTCCAGATCTTCCAACAAGTGTTGGCACCAATGTCATGGTAAAGTCTGTCTTCCTGAGGTTATATGGTTGTCTATGAGAAAAAACAACAACGGAAGAACAATTAAACATATATTCAATTAAGAGTATATGCTTAACTAGCTCTAAAGCTCTAAAGAAGCAGCGATACAAAAGGTAATTGTTAATTAGCTCCAAAAGTGACAGATTCCAGGAAAAATACACTCAAGCAGAAGAGCTATGGACCAGTTACAATGTCACAGGATGAAACAGAACACATACAGTTAGTCACAGTAAACCAAAAAGGACTAAACAGAAAAAATATGTCCAACTCTAACATCTATAAACAAAGTTGTTGATGTCAGTTGCCCAGATGATATTTCAATCCAGAATGGAGTCACAATCAAACAGGAAACAATATAAGGTTATGGGTGGAACTAAGAAAATACTGCAGAATGGGAAAATAGAGATAAAATGAAGCATAATGTTGAAAAGTGGTCCATATGTCCTCCAGCAGCCTAAACTTATAAAAGGATAAATAAAGAAGATAGCTCAGGATAATCTAACTATTTTGAATGAACTATGAGAAAGGTAGAGCCAAGCATAACGTCTGTCTGGACTCATTTCTGGACCACACTGCTTCACGTCAGCATACTCCAGCAATACCTGTATTACTGTGGGAGAAACCCAGTTCATTTAAATGGCATATAGC